CCAGCATATTGGGCCATCCTGTTGCGGTAGTTAAGATTGTGACAAAGAGCGTGAGATTTCTTTTTATCCAACAACTCCGAATAAGTTGCATCGGCACCAATGGATACTGCTAATAAGCGATGAACTATAATGTCAGCATATCTTAAATGAAAATAAAATAATTAATAATTGAAAATTATACTTTATTATGTTATGTGAAATCATTTAAATCTAATCCTATTAAAATTAAATCTTTTGAATAACATATTATTATTATTATTATTATTATTATGTTTTATATTTGAGAGAAAATTAAACATAAAATTTATAGATAATAAATAATTAATATATATATATATATATATATATTTAATAATAAATTTATATTAAAACAAATATAATGAAACAGAAACAAATATAATTATATTTTATAATAGAATTTAACAATGCATTTTTTCTTATAAAATAGCTAAGTTTTGTCAAAAATATTTAAAAGGAAATTCAATATATATATTACATTTAAAGTTTCTATAACATTCAATTTTACAATCTATTTCAAAAGTACAATTAATTTATAATTATTAATTGTCCCTAATGCAAAGTATACTTATAATATAAATATCTTATTTATAACATTTTTTTTAAACGTACCTTCTAATAGGAGACGTAAAGTGCGTATAAATTGGACAAGCTAAACCATAATGGAAGAACTCTGGTTCTTGTAGCATTCCACTCGTAAAATATACAGCTTGCATCATGCACCTAGTGGCCACAATCTTCAACATCGTGTTAAAATAAGGATTGTCCTTCTTTTGCGCAGCCTCCAAGGACTTGGCCAATTCCATACCGGAACTTGTATTAATCTCGAAACCTTGGTGACGGCCGGCCTTGATTAATGGGTCAAAATTTACCTGGGGTGGCTCTGGATGACGACGCAGCATCGAGCATTCTGGAAACTCCATCAAGATCTTTTTGGCCACGGATATGTTTGCGAGAAGCATAAATTCTTCGACCATGGAGTTCGTTTCGAGCACTTTTTTAGCCTCGATGTCGATAGGATCGTGAGTCTCGCTGTCGACATGAAAACGAACTTCTGGCGACGCCAAGACCAAGGCTCTGTATTGATATAATTGTATTGATATAATACCCTGTATTGAGAGGATATTTTTATATTTCAATCAATAATAGGTGCACGAGCTCTGTATTTTATATAAATCATACCGTTGCTTCAACAAATTATTTTAAACAAGCAGTAAGGAGGACATTATCAGAAATCTTGTTTCTTATTATTTATAATAACAATTATTAAATTTTGTCAATGTTATGTTTTATATAGTTGAAGAGTTAATTGAAAATTAGATAGACTATTTATAACAAAAATTTTGTAAAAGTTTGTACACTTTTGTAAATATAAACGCTGTAAATAATGAAAAAGCCAATTTAATGATAGAATACATTAAAAATTTTAATTTAATTGATATTTTAAATTAATAGAGTATTTAAAAATAATATCAAATAAATTTGAATATTGGATATAATTTAACTTATATGTTTCATAGCACATGATGTTTAAACAATTATTTATTAAAGACAATATTCACGAAATAATCTTCTATACAATGTTCTTTCCAAATTAAGACAAATTTAAATCTTACCCCTTATCTAAGCGCATCTTCTTGAGCTTTTTCGCTAAATTATTCAAACTTCTTAAGCTTTTAGTGAGATCATCATTTTGCCTTTCATCATCAATTCTCAGTTGAGCTTCTTCGTAAGTCAGAGACGCTCGAGATAAAATAATTGACTTAAAAAATTCTGTAGTGATGATATTAGCATTGTGATCGACTTCCCAAATACACGAAAATGCAAATCTTTCTTCTTTACTTTTCAGTGAACATAAATCGGAGCTTAAAAGTTCTAAATAAATAAGAAAAATTATAATTTAAAAAGGATTAAATGTTTTTGTATCTATATATATTACAATTTATCATATATAAATTTGAAATATATATCTATTCATTATATTAATTATCTTTACAGAAATATTAATCACACGTGAATAGAAACTTTAAACTCTTGAAAATATACAAGAAAAACATCTTCTAATAAAAAACTATTTTTTAACTGACAGCTAAACAAAATATTTGCAATATTAAAGTGATAAACTGTGCCTAATCTTTTTTACCATGAATAGTCAAACTAATTTAATTGCAATAAGAATGAATAGCGGTAGTAATGCAAAAACTATGCCAAATGGACCCACCAGGTACCATGTCAATTCGCGTGTCGACAAGATAAACAGTTCTGGCCCTTGATGCAGCTTCTCTGTCAAGCGCAGTTCCAGGTCTAATGAAATGAGAAACATCAGCAATGTGTACGCCGACCTCCAAGTTACCATTTGGTAATTCACGACAATGAAGGGCATCGTCAATATCGGTGCAACCAGGTGGATCAACCGAGCAAATTTCCAGAGATCTAAGATCTGTCCTCTGATTAACATCCTACGATACAAAAAAAATTATAATATGAATTTCTATTTTATAAAAAGATAGTTCGATATACTTTATCAAATTTACGTACAAAATTAAATTTTTCTATATACACACGCTCACTAATGCTCACTAATGTTGACACACTTTAAAAACAACAATATTATAAAAAAAAAAAAAAATATATGACAATTGAATTTAAGTATCAAATTTCACGCCTATATACAAACCTAGCAATAAATTTCTCCTCGGATTTTATTATAAATTTTATGTAGATATTACTCAATAAAAATTAAATTAAATATAAAAAAAAACAAGTACATTAAACATAAATTTATATTAGAAAGATAAATTTGAAAGATATGTCCGAAGATTGTAAAGAAAATAATTTAACGCGTAAAATTTTCAAACTCATCTCAAAATTAAGATTGGTTAAACCCACAAAAGAGGCAAATATTCTAATTTTATTAGTTAATGAAATAATATATTATTAAAAATAATTATTTATTCTATTTTTAGATAGAAGTAATAAATGATGTAAAAAATCAAATAAAAATTGTACAGGCAAGTATATCAGAAAAAAATAAGAATGCTGAAGAAATTGAAAATTACATTAATGAACTTGAAGAAGGAAATTCATCTAAAAGATTTAAACTTTTTTGTCATGAAATAGAAAAATTTATAATTTTTTTAAAAGATAATGAAGATTTAAATTACTACATACATAAATATCCTCAGTACTGTATCAATTGTGATAATTGTATTTTTATATTTATTTTATTTATATTAAATGGTTTTGATTTAAATTTCAGATTATTACAAAAACGGCTTAATATCGATGTAGATGAATTACAAATTGTATTAGCTGAAATAAAAGATGCAATGACAAATATAAAAAAATTAAAATCTCAACAAAAATTAATAAAAAAAGAAATTTCTACAATGAATAGATCGATTCCACGTATAAAAGACACAGGTTTAAAATCATACCAAATAATTAGAAAATATTTTGTTGTTTATAAATTTTAATAATATATTTTTTTTTTGTTTAGAAATTAATGAATTAGAGTTGATTCTATCTCATCACGATAAAGATTTATATACTCGATGGATAAAATCTAAATGGAAATTCGAAGCAATTGAAGAACTGATGTTTAATATTCAGGTTTTTTTAATAAAAGTAAAAAACTTAGAATTATATTCGTACATAATTATGATCTTGTTTTTCTTTAGAAAAAACAACTAGCAATGGACACATTAAATACATTAATAAGTCGATATTTGGATAAGATAAAGAAAAATGACGTATTAACGAACGATTTACCAGAGGAAAATTCAATTAACAAAAACAAATCCGATTCACTTTTATCTTCAATATCATCTAGTCCATCAAAAATTCCACCACCACCTCCAATTTTGCCCATTCCTCTAACAGTGACTACTTTAAATAGAAATAATTCTAAACATTCTTGGGTTCAACGTAGATTTAGGTAAATATACGTATTTAAAAAATATATATTTTAAATATTTAATTTCGAAATAGTAATTTCAAACATTCAATGTTATTGATAAAAACTAATCTTTCAGAATATATATTAAAATAATATATTAAAATAATTGATTAATTAAATTAATATAAAAAATGTATGTTATAGAGCTGAACGAAGGGGAAATTTTGGGTCGGTTCGACCAATAACAGAATACCAGGAAACCGAACCATATGTATTCTCATTAAATTTAAACAATACAAGAAATAATACAAGTTCTAATACTAGTATCTTAAAATCTCAATCATCACGACTTTCAACTAGCTCTAGTAATCATATTCTTAATTCAAGCTCTAATAATCAAATCGGTACTTCCGAGAATAGTACAAGACAATTTAAGAATGACTTGGAATTGAAACCGGAAATACAATCAGTCTTTCAAGTTAATATTTAAAATTATTGTTAATTTATTAGCTAGTAAATTTTTTTTTATGTTATATTGAGTAAAATACAATTAGAAATTTTAAAATAGTATTTGAATGGATTTAAATATTAAATTGATAACAAATTAATAATATATATAGTAACAAAACATAAATATATATATACATATTAAAAAAAAATATATATATATATATATAAACATATATACAAGCATATATTACTATACTAAATTTTATATATTTATTTTTAATAGGCACTTTTAGGTCAAAGGACTATTCCATTAATGATTACAAATGGTTAGTTTATAAATCTAATTCCAAAAAAAATAAATATAAAGGAAAATAATATAAAATCGTTAAAAAATCAAAATACTTAAAATTAAAAATTAAAAAATTATTAAGTAATTTACTGAAATAGTATCTAATATAAAAAAAAAAGTAAAATTGTAAATGATTAAATAAATATATATACTTAAAAATATAATTTACATGTTTTTGTATGAAAATAAAATAAGCATTTATATTCTACCGAATCTGTAATAGTCCAAGGCAGCTTCGGTAAGAAACTTAACACCTCATCAGAGAATCTGCTATGTGGAACGTCATGTTCTAATAGTAAAACTTCATTCTCAGTATCTTTGTCACCAATTGTACCTAACGCACGCACAAAGTGTCCTAGTGGATACCTAGAGTGTCTTGGCCAAGAATCAATAGCTACTATAATGCGTTGTGTACACAAAGTTTCGGCTTGTTTAGATTCAATTCTAACTTTTGGAATTTTTCTTTCTGCTGGCATGAAAAGGTGATGCGTATTCTGAAAAAAAAACAATATCTCTTTGTTCAATAATATAATTATTATAGAATAAAAAATATCAATTAAATTAATATTATTTACATCTTTAAGTGCACTACGCTGTAATATTCCACAGTATTGTCTCCACTTTCTCCTAATAATACCAACAATCCTTCCAGTAGGTGTTTTCTCAACCGTGGGTATTTTTTTGTTTTCTGCTAATATATTTTCATCGTCAATAACATCGCCTGGATCATCCTCTGCTTCATCTATTAATATTACTTCACTCGGTGCTGACCATTGATCCTCTGAAAAGAGTTCAACAGCCACTGTATCTCCATCGATTGCCCGATTCAAAGATTCTCGTCCTTGTATTAATATCTATTTATAGGAAAATTACGTCATTACATTAAATTTAATAAATAATATATGTACAACATTTATAAGATTTTACATACATTTATACTTACAAATTTTTCAATACTTTCACAATTTACAGACCCCTCAAGAAAGTTTTCTCTTGAAGCTAAAAATGTACCTTGTATGAGGGTAGCACTTTTTATACCATCGTGTATTTGGGAAGGTGATAAATGACAAGGAAAAAGTGGAGCACGAGCATCTCCATCCAAAATATAACTTTTTTTAGAGAGTTTATCAATTAGAAAGCCTGCATTCTCCAATGAATTCACATATTCCACCACTAAAAAATAAAATGTTTAGAAAAAAATTTCTAATTGCAATATGGAACTATGAAACATATTACTTGTAACCACAGGAATTCCCAATTTTTCTGCTTTACTTTTATTTTCATGATCATCAGTTACTAAAATAACTTTTATATCAATTTTTTGTTTACTTAAATGAGTATTATACCAATGTGTAACAATTCGAAGTGCTCTATCATTTCTATCATTAATTATTTCCCCATGTTTACGTTCAATGTATGTGTCCCTAAACAATAAATATTTTACTTAGTCAAGAATATCAATTTAAATTAAAAAAAATTTGAAATACCCACTTATGATGTTCATTAATAAAAATATAAAACTTCCTGTGAGGATCATTGATTATTTCTTTAAGTTTTTTGTAAACATTTGAACTTCTATGGCGTACTTCATTAAGTGTAGTTTGTGGAACAATTACATTGCATAATATATTTTCATCTAAGATGTCTATCTATAATATAAATAAATAAATTATGATTCAATAATAATAATTCAAAAATAATTTAATAAATATTGCCTAAATACTATTCTAATATATAAAAAATAAATACTATTTTGAATAAAGAAAAAAACTAGAAATATACTTATTAGTTTAAAATTATAAAAAAGGTATAATATAAAATAGTCTAGACAAATTATTTTACTTGATTTAATACGATATTTGTATCTAGAACCAAATAATGGGGCATCGCAAATAAAGTGCTTTTAGCACCTGGATTTTCTTCATCAAGTAAAATCTCCTGTTTTCTACGTCCACATTTTCTACAAGCTTCTGAACCACACCATATATCATCTCTTAAATAATGTTCCCGAACCACCTATTAAAATACATAAGCAATATTAACAAATAAACGAATTGAATTATTATATTTGAATACATAAATAAAACTCAACCTTATAAATATTGCCTCCTTTCGTTTTCCGATAAAATGACTTGGAGGTTAGCATTTTAAAATATTATTCTGTTACTTTTATATATAATTAATTTTAGATATAATTAAATTAAGTAAAGTTTAATATATCATTAAATTAAAAAATTAATGATTTATAAAGTTTAAAATTATAAATTATTTTACACATGTAAATTGCTTTAGCTCTGCTATATTACGCCGCCACGTTAATTCATCACTTCTTTGGGTATATCATATGATTATTTAGGTCCATCTTTCCGTGCCTGTGTTCTTCGTTATGTCGTTGCGAATGTTATTATAACCTGCATAATCTGAAAAATGGATATTGTAAATCAAATATTGGACAACGAAAATAATAAAAATGATTGTATACAACAATTAATAAATGTAGAGAAAGAAATTGACGTTGATATTGATGAAGGAACACTTTTAGTTTCCGACTATAACACATTGAATTTAAAAGCACCAAGTAAGTTAGAGCCAAACTTGGAAGCACTTACAAGAGATAATGTTCAATTACTAATAAATAAAATCTGGACTTTACCAATAAAATGCGTTGAAGAAGTTATTTTAGCAGAGTTACCGAAGCCAAAATATGTATTACCAAGATCACGAAAATTACCCAAGCCAAAATCATTAACCAAATGGCAGCAATTTGCTAAAGACAAGGGTATTCGAACTAAGAAGAAAGGTCGATCAAAGCTCAAATGGGATGATTTATTACAAAAATGGATTCCAACATATGGTTTTCGTAATGTAGAAGCCGAAAAACAGAAAGAATGGTTGGTTGAATGTCATGATGATGGTAAACCAATACAAGATCCATTTGTAGCACTCAAAGCATCGAAAAATGAAAAAAAAGCTAAAAATGAATTGCAAAGACTTAGAAATTTGGCTAAGGCAAGAAAAGTTAAAATTCCTAAAGTTGGATTTCCTAGTTCAGAGCATTTTAAAGATTCTAAACAACTATCAATGGGTGCTAAGGTATTATAAATAAAAATTTATCATAAAAATAACGATATATGAAACATAAATCTTTAGTATTATGTCATAATTTATAAGTACAATGATTAAATAAAAATGAAATAATTATATCTATATAATAACATATATCTTGTATATATTAATGATTAATTAATTTTATACTAATATTATTACATCTGGAGACATAAAAAGAAGTACATGAACATATGTAATATAGTTCCAAATGCTTTTAACATAAAAATGAACTGTTCCAGAGCTAATTGAAATTAAACTTACAACAGCTTTTTTTAATTATTCAGCTTATAAAAATTGTTATAATATAATATAATGTTTCTAATTGACTACAGATTGCAGAGGTTTCAACTGCTTCAATGGGTCAGTTTAATGAAGTATTAAAGAAAAATGTCAAGAAAACAAAGGGTAAAAAAGTCACTAAAAAGAAAAAATCTGGGCAATTAAAAGAATTAGGTACTAAGAATAAGAAGAAACCAAAAGCAGGAAAGGGAAATAGAGATTTTCGTAAAAAAGTTGGTGGTAGAAAAAGAAGACAGTGATAAGCTGAAAAATATGTTAATATTCAATGATAATTCTTAATGTTACATAAATCATAAATATGTGCTCATTTTGTAAAAATGTTTTTATAATTTCTTATATAAATATATTATTTGCAATTGGTTACATTTTATTACAATAGAAATATATTATAATAAAATATGAGAATTTAATTTTTTACATAGAAAAAAAACAAAATAAATCTAAGTATGTGTTGCCTGCTTTAATAATTTGAAGTAATAAAACACATAAAAAATAGTGATAGTGAATTTAATATCAAAAATTCAACTCACTAAACAGGTGATAAAAAAAGTTTACATTACTTAAAAAATTCTATTAAACTTTTTAAATTTTACATTAAAGAAAAATCTCACTATTACAAATCTTGATGGTATTCATATTGGTTCAAATGTGGTTCACAACATTCATTTAAATTGACATAAATATTTTTGGCTTTTATAATATAAATTAAGATGGACAGATGGATTCAAAGAACATTTTCGAATATTATTGAATTTAATTGATATTTTAAGAAATATAACAAATCGTACATTCTAAAAAATTAATAAACTAAATGAAAATTGACGTTTTCAATTTTAATTCTCTTTTTTTATGAATATAATTTATAATTTTTTCTTTTTTAATTAATTAAATATTTGAATTAAGTTGTACTTTCAGTAAGATATTAAAAAAAGTGCATTGAAATTATTTAAATAGTTTTCAAATTTTACCGGAACCATACATTTTTTAATATCTATAACCAAATTTTAAAATAAAACGTGCTGCACCTATTATTATTATTATAGCAGTGTTCTGTACATTTTGACGATTCACCTTCATATGTCTCATTTATTAATCAAAAAAGTATTTAAAAATACGAATTAGTAAACCTAAAAGTTAAAAAATTTGTTTTTGATTATCGAAAATTAGTTAATAACATGGATTTAATTTTTAAACTTATTTAGAGGAGCAGTTCTTGGAAAGTATGAAATATCGGTTATTAAGTCGATAATAAAAATAATATTTTTAGAACGGACAACCTAAACAAATTTTAGCACAAAAAGATAGAATATCTATTTACTTAAATATGTTTCGATGTTCATGTGTTACATTCAAATCATATTGGGAGCATCAGTATTTTGTATCCAAACGTATTAAAAGTAGTACTATAAACTTGGTGAAATATTGTTCATCAAATGATCATAAAGACAATAGCTCGCAAAATAAAAGAAATACACATAGAACATGCATTTTAATTGGTTTAACACTCACAGGGGCAGTTTTTTTTGTATCACATTTATCAGAAAAAAAAAATATTTTTCAAACAGATAATATACTTTCTCAATTAAAAAAAAAATTTGTGTGAGTAGAAAAACATACATATTTAGTATGTATATAATTATTTGTATAAAAATACGTTTTATATTTAATTACAAATTTATTTATTAAATTAACAGAAGAAATGATACTTCTATTGAAATGAAAAATCTTCCAACGTACACGATAAATGAAGTTAATAAACATGATAATATTCAGGATGGTATCTGGATTGCCTACAAAGAAGGTGTATATAATATTACCAACTTTGTTAGTAAACATCCTGGAGGACAAAATATGATTTTAATGGCTGCTGGTAGTTACATAGATCCTTTTTGGAAGATATTTGCCAACCATAATAATAAAGAAACATTAAAAATTTTGGAATCAATGAGAATTGGCAATCTGAATAGCGCAGATGTTTACAAAAAAATTGAAAATTCATATAATCCATATGCTTTGGAACCAAAACGTAGCAAAGTAATTAATCCATTAAATACTGAATTAATGCATTTATAAAGTTGTATCTTATACTACGCTACACTGTAAAATATGTAAATTAAAGTATAATACAATAAAACATGTTTATATGTAACATAATATATAATTAAAATTATTAGGTGCTAAAAGTTAATGGCAAACAACCATTTTGTGCCGAGCCTCCAGCTCCTTTACTTATAGAGAATTTCATAACTCCATCAGATATTTTTTACGTAAGAAATCATCTCCCAGTGCCAATAATTAATTTGGAAAATTATGAATTAGAATTTACTGTTGAAGATGAAGCAATAAAATCTCTTACATTAGCTGATATAAAAAAATATCCAAAATATACCATTACTAGTGCAGTTATGTGTGGTGGTAATCGAAGATCAGAAATGGCTAAGGCAAAGCCTCTAAGAGGTTTAAACTGGAATATTGGAGCTATTGGAAATGCAAGCTGGTCTGGAGCACGATTATGCGATGTTTTACAAGATTTATGTACTCATAAGTTTTTCAAATTATAAAAATTCAATTTTAAAATTAAAAACTAATTTTAATTAGAATTTTATACTTACGCAAATCTAGAGTATTCTAAATTTTACTTTGTTATAAATTACAATCAAATTTTTATAATGTTGCATTGATATCTTAGGAAAATAAAAAATAATTTTTTTTTATATAATAAATAATTTTTTAGCTATCAAAGAAGAAGATTACAATCACTTACAATTTGAAGGCATGGACACAGATCCATCAGGCATAGCATATGGCGCAAGTATACCTATTGGTAAAGGTTTAGATCCAAAAGCTGATGTACTATTAGCATATGAAATGAATGGAGAAGAGATATCTTTGGATCATGGTTATCCTATACGAGTCATAGTTCCAGGAGTTGTAGGAGCAAGAAATGTTAAATGGTTGAATAAAATTAAATTATCAAAATATGAGAGTCCCTCTCAGTTTCAACAGAATGATTATAAAGGATTTGCACCTTCTATTAATTGGGATAATGTTGACTTTAGTAAAGCTCCAGCAATTCAAGAAATGCCTGTTACATCTGCCATTTGTACTCCACAGGAAAATTCTAAGATAACAATTAACAAAAATGGCTCAATTACAGTTAAAGGTCAGACTCTTATTTTATGTATTTATTATAATTTAAAAATATATTTTTAACTCTTTTTATGATATGCTATTTAAATAAATCCAATTTTTTTATTAAAAATTAGAATATTCTTGTACATTTTTAAAGGTTACGCATGGTCTGGTGGAGGAAGGAAAATTATTAGAGTAGATGTAACAGCTGACCAAGGAGAAACATGGCATGTTGCTGATTTAACAGCTCAAGATTTAAATGCAAAGGAAAGTAGACATTATGCATGGACATTGTGGAGTCTTGAATTACCTGTTAAGAAATCCAATGAATCTATAGAGATATGGGTTAAAGCTATCGATTCTGCATATAATGTCCAACCTGAATCTTTTAAACATATTTGGAATCTAAGGGGTTTCCTATGTAATGCTTATCATAAAGTCAAAGTAGATTTAATTTAAATATCTTCACTATGACGATTAAAAAAATACTGTGACGTATAAACATGCCTTTTTTTCAAATTCTAAAAAATATCTTGAATTCGATAATTTAAGGAATTTTGTACCTAAGAATATGTATTACTATTAATTTTTGAAATGATAGTCATTTGATGATTTTACTGATTCAAGTACATTATACTAACATTACTTATATAGATTTATACTATGATTTACACTTAATTTTATGTACTCGAGCATGTTTATATTTTATTATAAAATCATGTAAATGTAAAAAGAAGCTGATACGAAGGTGCTATAAAACTTACAGTTAAATATTAATTATAAATACTACTGGAAATTATGTCTCTAAAGTGTACAAGTGAAATGATAAAATCATTTCTATATTCATTAATAGCATAATGTGATAAATTTGTAATTTATACAATAAATAATTTTTCTTTAATCATGAGTTTTTACAAAAATTTCATACACCCATACACTCACACGCGTTATATTAAATTTAAAATAATATATACGTATATTCATTGTAAACAAACTCCAGATAAAAACAGCGTCAATTTCATTAAAGTAATAAAATATCCTTAATAAAAATGTTTTCAATTAGCTTTTAAAGATTTTTAAAATGCCGTGGTGCAAAATTTCAAATTTCTAATGAAATTTTTTCAATACGATATATAATGTAATGTCGATAATTTATTATAACTAATTATATCTCATCATCAAGTGATATTTAGTCCATATAATGTTATTACATATAAAACCAAATAATATAATACGTATTAGGTTTCAAAATTTGTAAAATGCATGCAACTGTTTATTACGTCTACACATACAAATCGTGCGCAACATATAGCCTCCGGACTATGTAATAAAATAATGCATTCCTCGCGAATCTTACTGCGCTTTCAAGTAAAAGTAAGCAGTTGAAATTCCCGTACGATTAAATTTATCTTAAAATACGAAAATACATCGGGAAAGCACACTTGGCAAATACATTCTATTAGTGTCAATTTTAACAAAAATTCAGAAATTTTCGACACTATAGTTATTATTTTTTTTGAAAGAACAGTAGTAGACAGAAATGGAAGGCGAAGAGTCACGTCTCATTGATGCCATTAAGGATCTCGACTTGCTCCTCTCGTTTTCTCTGTGGAAGAAGCCAACGTCAAAGAGTGTTATAGAATCAAGAAAGGCACGCCAAATGGGCAACGAGCTCTATACAAAGAATAATCACGACTTGACAACGCATAAGGAAATCCTACGGTTTTACACGAAGAGCATCGTCTACGCACCGCCTGGCTGTCAGGAGCTTGGATTGGCATTCGGCAACAGGTCCGCCCTTCTCGTGCATTTGGGGAAGTACCGCGAGGCAATCAGCGACATCGACCTGGCCCTCAGTTTTCCTCTACCGGAGATCTATGTGGTTAAATATTTATGCAGAAAAGTAAGAACGAGCTATGCTATAATTCCATTCAAAATTTACCAAAAACGTCTACGTTTTTCCATTCCTCTTTGGCGACTTCTCATTTAAAGAAAGTACCATTGTGAAAGTAATCAAAGTAAATATAATTGTAATAAAGTTCAGAAAATGTCGATAAAATTGTGGGGTGAAAAATTTTTTAAATTTCGCGGAATTTGAAAAGTTCGTTATTTTTAAATTGATTCGATCGTCCCCGTATACATTGTAAACGTGGCGCTTTAATAAAAATCATGAACGATCAGTAGTTAAATACGGACACTTATAAGCATAGTGTTTATGTGTGTGCGCGCGCGTGCGTGCATGTGTGTATGAAAGAGAGAAATCAAACTATATGAATTAGAATGTCAGTATACATTTTCCTTATTAAAAAACTGATTTCTGCTTATATTAAAATTAAAGAAAGTAACAAAATTTTCTCCTATACCTTACTTAATTCTCTAACATTCATTCATAATACATCATTCTATAACGTAAAAATATATAATTTAGATATCAATACTTTTTAACGCATCAACTCGGCAACTTTCAATAATTTAATTATTGAATTATAATTTAATACATAATTTAATATTAATTTCAAAATTGAACATTCCATCAATAGAATTTTAAGAGAATTCATTAAGAATTTATATTTTTATGTATTTATTTATATTATGGAATAAAATTTTAAATACACATAAACAGTTTTAAAAAATAGTTACATTTATGCAATATAATAATTTTATATATAATATGAAATTTTTTATTATTGCCTTTTACATTATTAAATATTAAAAATGACACTCAAATAAAATTCAATAATATTGGGAGACTAATTATAACAATAAATTATTGATTAATATTATAAAAATATATGGACAATTGATTTTTCGGGGAAGACTTTGAGAATGATAGAAAATTCTTGAATTTTTATTATTTTATTGATGAGGTTGAGTGCCAAGCAGAATTGGGAATGGTAGAAGCTAAAGATACGTGCGAAGAAACAAAAAAAGTGCTACAAGATTTATGCGTCAGTGTTAAACTAAAGAAAGATGTCATAATAAAATTAGTGAAGGCCATTGTTAAATTGGAGAAGCGGAATTTCAAAATATTAGAATCCGATCAAAAACAGAAATATGCTAATACAGGTTATTATCTAAATCTTTTATATTAAAAATATAATTTAATTAAATGCACAGAATTTATGAAGTACTTATTAAGAAGAATAAGTATGTATATATAATTTAAGATTTAAGAATAATAATAAATATCATCTATTTTATCTTAAATTGGTATGAAAAATGTCTATTTAAGCAATACATATAAAATTTAATGTAAATAGTTAAATTTAAAATATACTTAAATGAGCATTGATTATAAAATATGCGTAATACAATAATTAACCTTATTAATAGAATATAATCTTAAGTTAGTTTCTATTAAATATACCAAAATATTTGATTTAAAATAGTGATGTTAAGAATATCTCTTAGTCGTTATTATCAAATTTTTATCGTTGAAAATGTATATGCAAAAAAAATACAATATTTGTTATTGTATCGGATTTATGTTCTAATGTATATTAAAATATTCTCGCTCATACTCTCTTCAATTCTCGTTAATACTTACTTTATTATAAAATTTCTCATCTATTATATCTTTAAATTATAATACCTTTATATTTTTAGCAGATAAATTTATACGTGAAAAGTCGAGCGAATGTGAAAGTGCCTCTAAAGCCGTCGTAATAAGCCGCAATAGCCGTTACTTACGCTTCGGACGGCATTTATTAGCGGATCGCGACATTGCACCAGGTGAAGTTCTCTACGTCGATGAGCCCTACGTATCATTTCCTATGCAGACGTACTTATACACAAATTGCTCACACTGCCTAAGGTTCGCTTGGGCTGGTTTACCATGCGATACCTGTACCTATGCAATATACTGCACAGACAAATGTAAACGTACGGCTCAAGAGCTCTATCATAATGTCGAATGTAATATCATTCACAGAGGTTGGAAGGTATATGAACGTATGAACTCAGCCAGATTAATGAGCGTGAGACTACTTATAATGGCTATGAAGGAGGCCGGAAGTTTGGAGAAACTAAGGGAAGATTTCAAAGAGATTGACAACTCTAGAGGTATTTAAATATTTGTTATTTATCGATTATAAAGATTCTGTTCTTTCGCAATAATTATTATTTTAATAAATACATTTATTTATAGTTATTGATTTTCATTAATATAATTACTTTACTATTTATTTTTAAAATTATTCAGCTAAAATAATTAAATTAATTTTCACACTTAGTGTTTGTACAAAGAACTGGTAGACTTAATGTTCTAAGTAAAATTTGTAATTAAAAAATGCAGTATTATAATAGAATAATATGTAGTATCTTATTCTCTTAACTATCAATTTATTAAAAATATTTGGATAATATTAGTAAAATAAACGTATTTTTAAAATAAAGTAGAGTTTAGTAAAGTTATCGAAAACATTTTTAATTTAATAAGAATTTACAAATTTTGTCAAATCCAGATTATGTAATTTAACGACTCGATATTTTTTAAGTATTTTTTCTGATATTGGAATAAATTGTCATTTAAACTGGATTAATTACGATTGAAAATATCATTCATCAAATTTATTAGTTTAATACTATGTGCACCAACTGGAATTTATATTTATTTGTAATCTTTAAAATACTTAAAATGTTTTCTTGCAGGTAAATTCTAATATATATTTAATTCAGCTTAAACTTTTTGATTAATTTACCAGCTAAATAAATTTAAATCTTTAAATTCTTTAAATCTTTTAAGTCTCAGTTTAACATGTTTACAGATTAACAGTTAGTAGAACAGTTAGTAATTGTTTATACAGTTGTAAATAGTAAAGAAAAGGAAGAAAAATGGCCCGAAAAACCATGTGGGGGTGGGGTCAAAAGCAAGAAACACACTTTCTTAACCCAATGGCTTACGAAATTCATTTTTGTTATAATTGGAAGAAATTATTCTGAAAATTTATTCTATATATTATATTAGTATTTACAAAAATGTAAAAGTTTTAGCATATATAACATATAGCAATGAATTAGTTATCCTTTAATACAATTATATTTACAGCAAATTCATACTTCAATACATAACTATTCCACCTTTCATTATCCATTCTTATAAGTACTATGTTACCTACTTTACTACACTTTTAAATTACTACGTTAATATTACAAATTACAGTTAAATTATTATCTTTCATTTTATTTTACTTACTCTACAAATCCATATTTTAATGCATACCTTCAATTATAATGGATTATATATCATTGCTGCCATATTTTCTTACTTATAATTTAATAAAAAAAAATATATAATTTAAAACTTCTATAAGATATTTAACGATATGAAAACTTTTCTTGAAAGATAAATGAATAATAAATCATTATTTCATTTAATATAGTTCAAATTAATTAACATAGTCGATCATTATATAGTGAACAATATTTTTAATCGTTAAATTCTTTTAAATTTCCATAAACACATCTAATAATTTAAATGTTTAAAAATTCCTATTTCTATGAATGATTGATAAAATGATTGTTTATAGAACCATTAAATGTTATCGATGCCTTGTTCCAATTAAATTTTTGTTTTTGTTATTAAAAATAGCATAATAGTTATACGAACATTTTATATATAATATGAGTTTTTATTCCCTTTAAAATATTTTTTCAATTTCAATTATTATTTAAATATTTATATAATTTTATAATACAAGACAAGATTTTATTTTAATGAAGTTAAGAATTAAAAAATGGATATAAATTATTTAAAAGATTTAAAACTTAAGTATAACTTAGTGATTTATTGCAGATCAACGCAAAAAAGGATTTTCGAAAAATCAAACGGTATTTATTAACAATTACAAAAGCGCATATAGTTTATTAACTCATATGAAACAAAAATCAATCAATGAGTTAATAGCCGTATCAAGAGATTCAGCTGTACTTTTGTACTTTATAGCTAGATATACAAAACTGTTTAGAAATCATTTCGATTACGATAAAAAAGCTCTCATTGTTAGCGAAGATGCATTATTCGTTGGAAAACTTCTTTCTCACTATCAACATCTCATTTTAATCAATGCTGTTACGGTAATAAATAATTTTAAAATCAATTTCAAATAACAATTATTTATTACTATTGATTGATTACAGTTATTATTTAGAATATTGTGTTCTATTTAATTATTTATGTAATAATATTTTAATTTTTGAAACTAGTTTGCGTACTTCTAATATAGTAAAATATATTTTTTCTTTAAAATTTTTTCATCGATCCAGAATAAAATTGAACTTAAAACTTTAAAAATGTTTTATAATCAGTGCAAAATAATTCACTTGATATTTTTTTTTTTATTATATGAATAGATTAAAGATGTGGATATTGCGACATCGACAGATTGGAGCTGGACAGTTCCAAAAGAAGAGAATTGTACTGGTTTATATCTTACTCCATTCTTGAGTCTTTTAAATCATAGTTGTCATCCAAATATTGCCAAATGTGAAACAAAGGATAGGAAAACAATTTTGTATTCAATTCGACCAATCACTAAAGGTAGTCAGGTAAATTTTTAAAAATATTTATTTATTTTTCAATTTCTAAAAAATTATGTTTTATAAATAAAATATTAAGTGAAAGTATATAATATTTTATTAATGCCATTACGTATTAAAAATTTTAAATCATAAAAGTAAAGATAATAAAATGGTTATTGATTATATTTCCAAATAAAAAAAAAGTGAGGAAAAGTAAACTCATTAAAAAACAAGACAAATACTCGATATTATAATATAAAATAAATTATTGCTAGATAATCATTATATATATAAATATATATCGTTAAATAAAATTAAATAAAAATATATCGTTAAATATATAAAATATAACAATTTGATTATTTTTAACTAATATATTTACTATTAATAATAAACATTCAAATAAATCAATTTTCAATTTTTAAATTGATCGCTTTTGTTTATATAAATTTGTATGTCGTATATCATTTTAGATATTTGATTGCTATGGCCCAACATATTTAGAATTATTAAAAACAAAAAGGCAAAATCTACTGAAACGATTTTATTTTTTCTGCGACTGCATTGCATGTAAACAAAATTGGCCAATTTTTATGAATACAATAAGAAATGGACTTGTGAGTATTTAGTTAAATTTCTAAAGCATATTAAAAATATTAAAGCATATTAAATTCTAAAGCATATGTTAAAAAATTTATGTCAAATTATAAATATGATAAAAAAGTTGATAAATTATATTAGATCTTATATTATTCTAATAACAAGTTTAAAGTTATATTCTTTTAATTAATTCAAATCTTATCTATTTGATATACCATATACTGAGAGTAATAACTAATAGTTCAATTTTTTTGTCATTCAATGATTATAATAATTTATTATTATAATCTTCCTAATAAATACAAAAATTGTAATTGTATACATTAATAAAATGAAATAAAATGTTTATTATAGACATTTACTACTTTGTCACGTTCTGCATTCGAAGCAACTTCTAAAGAACATAAAAAGTGCGATAAAATACTTCAGTCTTTAAAAGATAAAGATGCTAATATTGATATAGATACCATTCAAGATTTAGCTTATGCAATTATTTTAACTATAAAGTACTGTAAATCACCAAATTGGAGATTACCGAGTCTTATAGCCACTTTAATTGCTGTTTTTAATGAATTATATGGATATGTAATTAATATCCCTGCAACGTGTTAAGTAAGGAAAAGTAAGTTGTATATGATTATTAAGTAAAATTGAAATAATTTTATTACATGTATTTTTATTGAAATATTATAATGTACATCAAAATTAAATAAGAATACTTAAAAATTACTAATTTAATTCTATCTTATAATATTTCAATAGTTAATTGAAAACTTGGTTATATTTTTTTTATAAATTGATAAAAATATGTATACATTTTTAGTATTCTAAATAAAATAATCCTGACCATGAAAATTTTATAATCTATTACTATACATAGATAATTTGTAGTTATTTGTTAAACGTATTTTCATTTATTTAATAAAAACCTAAATCCACAAATTTATTTAATATATATGCTTTCACATGTGATAAAGATTCGCGTATTTAAAAAATTAATATTATTAACAAAAAAAAATATAAATACGTTATCGAAATATAATATTTTGACTTATTCAGCCATTATATAAATTCATAATATTTAACACTGTCGATATACTATGTCAATTTATGTTACAAAATTTTTCATTTAATTATATAATATTTAAAAATTTGTGCTTTCCAGCCATATTTCATATTATTTCTTTTATTAATTTTTGTCATTCTATTACCGTATAAAGTAATAAAACTTGTCAAAGTAATACATGTTTTTTATAATTTATAATTAACACAAAATCAATTATTCTTTAATATTCAAAAATTTACAAAGCTTTTAGAAGTAGCCATTGAAGAAATACAGCAGCCTTTTGCGTTGAGAACTAATTAATTGTTCATATCTTTTACCTGATTCAAATTTGTAGTAGATTTTGCTATTTTATATAGACTATTTTATTTTACTTTATTAATTACATTTAAAAATTTAGTTTAGTTTTATATAAAATAGCTGATCACCATCAGGAAAGTAGAAGTTATTATTTATGTTTCGTATATTATGAAAATCACATTTATGTGTAATGTTGTAATGATTATGAAGAATAAATTTCAGTTAATATTTACCAAATAAATGTAATAATAAAATATGAACAGATATTATAAATTATAATGTTTTTATAACATCATATATCTAAATACAATTTATAATATTTTATAATTTGTAATTTATATAATTTTTTGTATTGTAAAAATAGTCATAATATTTTTTAAATTAAATGATATTATTATTATATACTTATTTTACACTAATTCAGAGAAGAATTAAGGAAGAACTTGATTCATATTATGTGAATATATACAATTTATTACATTTATTTCATTTGTTTATAACATGTATTTATTCATTACAAAAGCAGTTAATTTATTAACTACTTTTATAACTAACTAGATTCATATTATAATTCATTTCAACATAAATAAATACGATTAATTTTTCTACTATTCAACTTATAATTTATTAAAGTATATTCATTGATAAATTTAACTCTAAGTAAATTGGTCTTACATGCGTTGTTTTTCTATATGACACGTATACCCCATTTGCATTGTCTAGCTGCATTGCTTATTCGTAGAATGCCAGTACAACTGCCCTTAATATTTAAAGGTCGAATCTTGCAACTACAGGTTACAATTTTTATAAACATTAGCAGAAATAAGAATAATTATTAATAAATTTTAAACGTATTTTGATTTTATTTATGTAACAATTATTATGATTTAAATTTGAAATACTGATAAATATACTAAACATACTTCATATATTTTGTTAGAGTATGAAACTTTATTAGTCTAAGAATAATATAAAAATAATGTCTTTTATACAAATTTTTATTATATAAAAATTGAAACAATTAAATTGCTTGAAACTTTTATATATATATATATATATATTGAGAAATTTTCTCGATGTCTTTGATCGATTGCTTAATTATCAGCTAATGAATTATTTATCATCAATTATCAATTATAATTGGATATAATTTAATTTATATGAATTACAATTACACTATATTAAATTTATTATAACAGTTGGACAAAATTAATATAACATAAATAATAGTTTAAATTAATTAAAATTAATGCGTACAATAGAAGTTTTAAAATATCGATACCGACAAAAATACGATTCTGCCGTATACATAGAGCAGTACTAAGAACAGAGCGATCAATTTTTGTTCGAATTTCGTCTTATATTATATAGTATATTTGACTATATTCATATTTATAAACACACACACATGGAGAGAGAGAGAGAGAGAGAGAGAGAGAGAGAGAAAAGCCACACATTCACACGGATATATGCATGCATATATTTAATGTACATATATTAATTTAGTTACAGATAAGAGCATTCGTTTCAGAACATTTTAGCTTAAACCATTATAAAAGTATATGTTCAATCGTAAATTTTTAAACTAGTTAAATAAGAGACTTGAATAATTTTTATAGTTATTACATTAATGATAATATTTATCACCATTACTAAAAGTAATGATGAAATTAAAAATCACACAGTAAGATAAAAATCAAGATAATGAATAAGAATAAATTTATTATAAATTATAATTGGATCGTATGAAATAAAAGTAATCATTAAATGGATAAATTATATTATTACATTAAGTTTTGTGGTACTATTAGGATGTATCATAGCGAGATTTAAAATTATTATCGAAGGAATTTATATAAATATGTATATACGCGTTCAACATAAAAAAGCTAATTAAATTATAAGTAAAATTTGTTTATTAAAAGTAGGTTTAATATTTTTAAATTGTGTTATGTTAACGTTCAATTTTTGTATGTATATAATAAAATATTAAATAAAGGAAAATAATAAAAAAGTTGTATAGTATAAATAAAGTCACTCAAATACGCAGAAACATTTTCTCACGTAAAACGTATCCTTTTATATCGTAGCCTCATGCATATTTTCAGCTACTTAAAACCAGTGTGCAGGATTATTCGTTGAGTTTAAGGCCAAGGCAAATTTGCATCTGCCAAATAAACGGTTGAGCGTACTGCAACATAAGATTACATTTTGAAATTGCCGCGAAGCTGTTAAAATCGGATGAAGCGTCGGCGCGTCGTCGCCCTCCCCACCCTCCTGACCGCTTATAATCATAGTACATCGTACGCGTATAAGAGATTTTCGCAGTTTCGCTTGAATCCCGCTCGTGTGTACATATAACATTATTTCTTCCCCTCTTTCTCTATCGTTCATTCTCTTTACTATTGTGTATGTTGCGTGTGCGTGCGTGTGTGCCTTCGTCTCACCCCACGCGGATGTCGAATCGTAACGGCGAAGAAACCTCGTGGCCACGGAGATGCTGCGGCATGCCTACACAAGTCTAGCCAACGCACTCCCACGATCTGTCGGTGAGTCGCCCGCGCTTTTCTTTTTGTTGATATCGCGAGTCTTTGAAGTTAAGTACGGGTGTCTTGTTTGGTGTTTTTATTTATACAAGACAGATGGACTGCCACTGCATGCTTGAAGTGGTACATTGATTTGGAATATTGACATTACCCAAGGGTCAACTAAAATGACTACACGCTGAATATGAATGTTGATTATAGTGCACAATTGATTGTTATTCGTCGTTTTTCGTTTCACTATCTATATATATATTATCAGACTATTGCTAATATTTTATGAATCGTATTGGTTATTTTAAATTAACGATAGTTAGAACGTTGTTTACGGTCGTAGGCAATGTTGCCTGTAGTAGTGTACGATATTGTTTATAATAGCTTATTTATAAGGCATATTTATAAGCTTAAAGCATTGTTTATAGTATGATGTATCTGAATAATCCTTTTGAAAAATATATGTGAAACATTTAATATTTTAATATTTTTGGCTAATGTTTTAGATGTAATGTTGTTTAACGTTCAATCCTTTGTTATCAATATTAACCCACTCTAAGTTTTATATTTTATAATAAACATCGTCCTTTGACAATTTTGCATAAATTTATATAAAATGTAATTTTTACTGAATAATTTTGCTGAATTCAATTGTAAATAAATATTTTCTACAAATTTTTTAATTTACAAAATATTTTTGATATTTTGATGCAAGTATAAATACTTGCGTTCTTGCTTTCTTGTTATTATTTTGTTATCCAATATCGAGATAAACGTGGTCATACTTTGTGTCGATCGAACTAATTACGTACTTGAAGGATAATATTTATTTTGAAATTTAAATCGCATAAGTGTAAACGTAAATATTAAAAACTTTAACCAATCTATAGATTTTTATTATAATACATTTTATCATGTATTTTTTGCAATGATGTTATTTTTTAAACATGGTATAATTAAAAATATTTATTAGATAAAAAGTAAATAAGAATATGGTTTAAAATTTTACCAATATTTAATATAAAGATAACTTTAGCTATTATTAAATACCATTATTGAATATGACTTGTAAACATAAGGAAAACCACAATATTTATATTATATTACTATCATATTTTATATTATATACGATAAATACCCTCATTTAACAATGTAAACGTATTGTTAGCTTCCTGTTTTGCGTATTCGTTTATACTTAAAAATAATTTTAAAAATTCGGGGAATTTAAACTATATAAATTTTAATTGTTTTAGAAACTTATAAAACTTATGTTTTAGAAAATTATATAACTTTTTAATAACTTCTATCTGACCTAATATTTTTCTAATGTATCATTTTCTTAATCTGTTTTTTTTTTAGTTAATTTTGTTGCTTACGTAGATTAAAAGAGAATATTTTTGTACTCTGTTGCTCTACCATTCCTATACCTTTTTAAACCTTTTTATTGATTCATTTATAACCTTATTAACAATCTTATTATTTACATGATTATATGTTACATATATTTTTTAATGGATCTTATAGTATAACGAAAGTATTTTAATCATATAATAAAACATATAAGCATGTATTTATAAGTTATACAAACAATTATATAATAAAATAATACAAAAAAATGACAGAATATTCACAGCTTATAAAATTAGACCAAAAAATAAATTTGGGAACCAATAGTAGAACAAATTGTATTTATAGAAACTAGGATTTGATTAACTAAAGAA